TGGTGGGGGTGGGGAGGGGAGGAGGGATGAGGGCAGCTGGGCGCCCGCACACCGAGCAGGGTGCAGTGGTCTGATGGGTGCTGGCGGGAGAGGGGCGATGCCTCCTTGGGCAGAGGAGGGAAAGCCCTGCTGGGCCCGGGCCGATGCTGCCCCTGCAGGGATTGTGACCTGGGCAGTGACCCCGAGGCTGTGATGCAGAGCGTGGTGGGGCAGACGTTCTTGGGGTGCAAGGGCCCCTCGGAGTTGCGGCTGCCTGGGTGCTCTGAGGAGTGCAGCCCCAGCTCCGGCGGTCTCCTGGTCCTGCCGGTGCCTTGGGCCCACGGGCCAGAGTCCATCTGGGCCTGAGCTGACGGCTGGCTCCTCAGAGGCCATTGGGAAGAGGGGGAGGAGTTCTGCAGATCATGGCCAATGGCCGTTAGTCCCCCTTGGCGATAAGAGGCCTCCACCGGTGGCACACGGATCCGGGAAAGGCCCAGCAGCCGGCGCTGGGCTGTGGCTGCCCCTGCGAAGCCGCCTGCTCTGCCCGCATCCCCCTGGGCAACCTGGGTGGGTGGCCCCCAGGCGCTAGGAGTGTAGCTGGTGCTCCAGGTGGTGGAGAGGGTACTGGGTGTGGGCCTGGCTGTGACTGGAAGGAGGGCCCAGCGGCTGGCAGGTTACAGGCGAGGGGTTCCCAGTCCGGTCTTGTTACAGAATCTGGGGTTACCGCGTAGGCCCTGTGGGCAGACAGATGCCAGGGGTTCTCCTCAGGGTCGGGGTTCCATGGAGGGGGCTGGGCCTGGGGAGCGGGTGGCCCCTGCGCCCCACGGGGACCTGCCCACCTCTGCCCGAGCAGTGTGTCCTCCAGCCCCGTGGTCACGCTGACGTCCCTTTGCACCTGCGTCTCCGTGTCCCTCCTCACATCTTCCTCCTTCCTCTGCAGAGGCAGGTGGAGGTCAACGTCCGAAACAAGATCCTGTACCTGATCCAGGCCTGGGCGCACGCCTTCCGGAACGAGCCCAAGTACAAGGTGGTCCAGGACACCTACCAGATCATGAAGGTGGAGGGTGAGTCGGCGGACAGTGTCCGCATTGGGTGACCGGGCGGGGACGGCACCCACCCGCCCACCAGCAGTGGCACACGGAGCGGGCACCCCCGAGGAGCGTGGGTCAGCCCATGTCCAGGCAGCCAGCCCCTGGCTTTCCAGACCTGAACCCCGCTGGGGCCGGGGTGGGGCCAAGCAGCACACAACGTGCTGGGGAACAGAGCGGGGCAGCCAGTGGTGCTCTCGGAGGTCTCTCTCCATAGAGACAGAGGTGCTGAGCCTGGTCGCCTGGTCGCCTGGTCCTGAGGGGGCAGGGGGCAGGGGAGCCTGGGGCCTCGTGGACCTGGCGGCCCGCTGTGACTGCAGCCTTCTCTCTCCAGGACACGTCTTCCCGGAGTTCAAGGAGAGCGATGCCATGTTTGCTGCGGAGAGAGTGAGTCTCCGGTGCCGGGCGAGGGGGCTGCTCTGGGCGGAGAGAGCCAGGGACTGGCCTGCTGGGACCTGGGCCGCACGGAGCTGCTGTCTGCGTGGAAAGTGCGGCGCCCAGCGTGGCCCAGTGGAGTGAGCGGGCTGTG